ACGCGGGTTGTTGCGTTGGGGCCGTCCCCCATACGGGTCGTGCATGATGGGAGCCTTCCGTAGGCGAGACGGGTGCTTCGGGTGAGCCGGACCGCGCATCCGTTGTGTCAACGCACCCAAACCAATGGGTTGCAGCAAATGGACCTATTGGTTCGACCGGCGTCGTTTTGTCTCCCCGAGGTTGAGTGCCGAGTGTCAAGCCACAAATGGGCAACGAAGGCGGATGCCTCGTGACCGTTGGATCCAACTGGATCTGGATCATTTGTTCTTCTATAAATAGGGGCCTTAGTCGCGATTTTTCTTTGTCATTTGACTTTAGGCGCCCTTGCTATCAAGTGATTTCCACTCCAGAGCCTTTGGCTAACACACTTCGTCTTGTTTCCTTTAGTCCTCGTCTTTGGGTAACATCTCGTCCCAATGTCTTCTTCCGATTCAGGCCTTGAGTGTTATGAGCTTCCTAACCTTTCACAGGGGAGTTCTCAAATTCACATTTCTCTTAGCTCCAATTTGGGGTCGTTGGCTACTGAGGTCTCCCCTCGGCGAGAGGTGGAGGTGCTAAAGGAAGGGTGGCTTCTGGGGGTGCCGAGGGCAGTGGCCGAGGTAGTGACCCTACCTGTGAGAGCGCCGCATCCGTAACGCTGAGGGAGCCGGAAGGGTCCCCTCTAGACAAGTGGGAGCAGCTCCCTAAGCTCAACCCAAGGGCGGCGGCAGAGTGCATTACCCAAGGGGTGGCCCTAGCTAATCTGCCGCATTCGGAGTTTGACAGTACTCGGGACGTGGATCAAGTGAAGGCTCTGGCCAGGCAGTTCTACATACCTCGGTCCTACTCACTTAGAGTACCCGATGTCGGTGACCGGCCGTGGACTCCCAAGGAGGGGGAGATATATGTATACCAACACTTCCTAGAGTTTGGCCTTAAGTTCCCCCTTCACCCTCTAATTTCTGAGTTGCTGAGGTGGTACGGGATCACCATCAGCCAGCTTGTCCCCAACACCCTTCGAACCATGGTTCCTATGCTGGTAGTGACTCGGCTTCAAGACGTAGAGCTGACACCTAAGTTGTTCTGCGCCAAGTTCATCCCAAGGAAGCAAACATTCGAGTCTGGCATGTATTATCTTCAGCCTCGGAGGGGTAAACCAATTGACAACCCCTCGTCCATCCATAACCGAATGGACAAGTTCTTTAACATTTCTGGCCCCAAGAATTGGTCATTCAAGTTGAGGTGGGGAGAGGCATGTACGACAGTGGAGAGGTACCCCTCCACACTTCAGAACGAGGAGGCCGCTAACATAGCCCACCAATTGATACTAGGGAAAGTCAAGGCCAAGCCTTTGGTGGAGGAGGAGCTTCCTTTGGTGTTCGTTGGGCTCAGCCCTACCCCCATCGGTAGGAGAGGTCCTATAGTCTCTTAACACATTCCCCTCGTCTTCAGCAGTTTACTGACTTGTGTTTTTTGCTTGTTTGTAGTGGTTCCCATGGACGCAAAGAAGTTGTTGCTAGAGAGCGTTCGTGCAAAGAAGAAGGCCCAAGGGGGCAGTACGCCAAGAGGGTAGGCGCCGAAGAGGTCTACCGAGGTAGCACCCGTGAGGGGTGATCAGGTGCCTGCTCCCACTAGGGGGCCAACCCACAGCAAGTCCTAGCCGGCCAAGGGGACCGAGGGAAGAAGCTGGTTGAGGAGGAGAAGAAAAGGCTGGCTGAGGAGGCTTCGCAGGATCGGCCGTCGAAGAAGTTGGCGCACAAAGATTCTGCCAAGGATTCTGTAGCAAAGATGCCCCCTATGAAGGGGTGTCCTGTAGGGCCTTCGTCCGCCCCCGCGTCCGCACAAGACCAGGCCAGGGAAGCTGAGCACCTCACTCGGGTGTTTCATCCCCGGTGGCAAATCCGCGAGGGGGACTCCATCTCCGAGAAGGGGGTCAGCAAGGCCCTAGTGAGCGAGGCGGTCCTTCTGCGGGACTGGTTTGAGATGATGCAGAGTGACCCTCTGTGCGTTCGCGACGATGGCCTCACCCACTTGGCCAAGGTAAGCTTTTTTCCTCTCGTATTTTGTGTCTTCATGATTCACCGTTTGCTTTACTAATGGTGCTCTCCTCGGTGCAGGTCTGCCGTCACTTCGTCGGTATGGGGGACCGAGTGGAGCACTTCTACGAATACCTCATCCGGCTTGAAAAGATCAACGAGAAGCTTGTCGTGAAGGTGGCCAAGGTGGAGAGCAGCCGAGACGAGACCAAGGCAGCCCTGAAGGAAGAGCAAGAGCTCCGGTAGACGCTGAAGGACGACTTGAAGGGGGAGAAGGCTCGGGTCGACTGCATGAAGGAGGCCCTCAAGAAGTCCGAGGAGGATCGGGCCCATTTCGACGGAGTTGCATTGGATGCCGCTAAGCGAGTAGCAGAAGCCGAGGAATGAGCAGCTGAGACCGTCAAGATTTGGAAGCAGTCGGTGGAGTACCAGAAAAGCCTCGCTGACTACACTACTGCATCCTACCTGGACGGCATCAAGGACACCAAGAAGGCAATTTTGCAAGTGATGCCAGACTTCAATGTTGAGGGGCTGCATGTGTACCCAGAGTCCCCCGAAGAGAGTGTTGAGGTCCTCGATAGACCCGTTGATGCAGTCGAGGCCGCTGATGGAGCCGAGGACTTTGCCCTCCCCCCAGCTGGTGGTAAAGCCTAGCTGCTTTTCCCTTTTGTTGTGTTTTCTGTTTTTCTTTTGGATGTAAATGTGTTCGGCCGCCAAGGCCATAAAACTTTTTTTTAAATGCTTACATATGGACAAATGAATGAAAATAGAGCATTTTTTGTACATAGTTTTCTCCCTTTTCTTCTTCTTCTTCTTCTTCTTCTTCTTCTTCTTCTTCTCCCTTTTTTTTCAAGGGGTCCCTGCCCCTCCCATCAAAGAGACCATAAGTCAAAAAATGGCACGTAAAGGCTCGTTTTAGGTAGTTGGGGGGTCGGGGCCAAGGCAAGAGGTGTGCGACCGAGGTGCAGCTTGCCTGACTCGTTTTCTCTCAAGTGTTTACTTAGGCAAGGCCGAGGTGGCCAGTCGAAGTATGGGGGAGAGACCGAGACAAAGGTGCAATTCGCCTGGCCTATTTCTTTCCCAAGTGGTTACTACGGCAAGGCCGAGGTGACCTGCCGGGAAGGCCGGGGTCTCTAGCCGAGGTGAACCGCCGAATTAGTCGGGATTGCTGTCTTTCTTTCATTGTGCTAAGTACATAAGACCAAGAGGCCATCCATCGCCGAGGCAGGTAGTCAGGCGTACGATGCCTCGGCCGTCCTGGTGTATCTCCGTTTCGCGAGGTGTTAAGATTGAGTGTTCGATACTGGCTCGAGGGGAGTTATGTGCCCTGACGATGGTCTAGCA